GATGAGAACGCTATTCAGGTCTCCCAAAGAAGAATAGAAAGAGCTATGCTTGGAATATCACGTTTCACTCAAATGAGAGAAAGAATCCGGAGTTCTGACATCCGTCGACGATCAAGAATCAGGGACGCTGTCTCATTTGCCAAGGTGTCAAAAATCAGATGGGCTGGTCACGTAATGAGATTTAAAGACGACCGCTGGACTAGAGCTGTTACTGATTGGATTCCACGGGATGTCAAAAGACCGCGTGGCCGCCCACCTACCAGATGGTCAGACTTCTTCATCAAGATCATGAACAATCGGTTTGAGGCCCTTCATGTTCCCGGAGCGAACAGATGCCATTGGGCTACACTAGCACGCGACAGGGACAAATGGAGACGTTACTGGCGCCCGCTCGAGCAAATCAAGGACTAACGGGAAGTTAAGTGATTAAGTGATCCATACAAAATGATTTATATTATATTCTTATATGCTTGTCGGACAAGGAGAGGAGAGCCACGCCCATGGGATTATGCTCTAGGGTGGGTCCTCCTGCTGAGGAAGGATCTGTCCTAGGAGCGGGTCTTCCCTGAGGCTAAGATTTCTACCCCTATTGATTTCTACCCCTATTGATTGTGACGGAACCTATGTGTAATTGTTTCCCCAATTCCACATGGAGAGAGGATTTAACGAGACTGTAGGAGTGGGCTGGAGGTTCAGAGAGGATCAGAAGGAAGAGGAGGATGAAGGGGGATGGAAAAGGAGAATGAAGTAGCTGGGGGAGGAAGACTGGGAGCAGAGATAGAAGGAGAAGGGAGCAGAGAGACAGAAGGAGAGAGGGAGCAGAGACAGATGAGGAGAGAATCAGAATAAACTACGACTAATACCTACCAGCCTGGCCCTCGTTCCTTCCTCCGCCTGACCATCGCCATCGACCTCTCCGGGGTGGGAGAAGGGTGAGACTACCGAAAGTGGGCGGCGGGAGAGATAGAGCCACCGCCGCTGTGTGTGTGCTGCGCCCCTCTTTGTGTGAGCTTACACAAAATCAATGAGATTCTTTTACCACTGCATCTGAGACATGAGTTGTTTACACACTTATTAATATTATCCATTCTCCCTAGTGTGAGCTATTACCCCATTGTAGTTTTTAATTTGCATTTCTCTAATACTAAGTGATGATGAACACTTTCTCCTACACCTATGGCCAGAATCCCATATGATCCCCTGGGCCCTCCAGGAATGATCCACGATCATTGTGTATTTTCTTTGAGGAAGAGTCTTTGCATCTCCTCTGCCCTTTTTGATTGGGTTGTTGGTCTTTTTGTTGTTGAATTTCTGTATTTTATATACTGAGGATATTAGCCTTTGTTAGATATATTTTCATCTACTCAGTAAACTGTCTTTTTTCTCAGTCTTATTTTCATTTAAGGAAATCCATATTTTAATAGTAATTTTTTATTTTATTGAATCATCCAAAGTTGTTCATAATTGGGTATTAGTCATACAATGTCCCAACACCCATCCCTCCAGCAGTGTAATTACTAGCACCAATGTCTCCAGTTTCCCTTTCACTCCCCTAAATCACCCCCACCCCAGCTTTCTGCTTTGGCAGGCACCTCTCTTCTCTCTCTCTCTCTCTTTCTCTTTCTCATTTTAGGCATTATGGTTTGCAATGCAGGTGTTGAAAGATTATCATGTAGATACCTTTACTTACTTTCAGCACTCAATTCTTGTCCACAGTGATCATTTCCAACTAATGTCATAATGGACCCTCCTCTACCTTAATTACCCTCTACTCCCCACACCTTTGTTTTAATTTCCAAACATTGACTAGTCTTCCTGGCCCATTTCCCCTGGCCTTGGATATTAGTTTTATACTATTTTTTAATATCCCACAAATGAATGCAGTCATTCTATAACTGTCCCTCTCCTTCTGTCTTTTCACTTAGCATGATACTCTCCAAGTCCATCCATTTATAGGCACATTTCATGGCCTCATTTTTTTCTAACAGCTGTGTAATATTCCATTATGTAGATCTACTATAGTCTCCTTATCCAGTCATCTGTTCTCAGGCACTCAGGTTGAAGGAAACACATTTTTAAAAAAATACAATTAAAAAGGTATAGGAACAGGGAGAAATTTCAGGCAACAAGGGCATCACATGACCCCTTAAGCACCACCAGGGTGACCTTGGAAGCCCCAGACACTATAAGACCTTGCACAACAAAAGAGAAGACGAAAATAACATTCAGAATTTGTTTTGCAACTGTTCTCCTAGGAGTAGCAGAACCCAAGTAGCCAGCAAGATACTGCCAATCCCCTTAAGAACTGCAATATGCACACTGTGTGTTGATTATTTATTCCTCCTCTGACTATATCAAAGTGTTACTCTAAGCTTTAAGTGTTATTTGATAGGTTACTCTAGGGGATCTGAAAATGCTCACATTTTTTCCCATACAGATTAATGACTATAACTTTTATGCTTGCACCAATCCTTTTAGAAAAGGATTTATTGGGTGTTTGGAAATTTCAAACACAAATTGCAACTATCAGTAGCTATTAAAATATGAAGCACACATAAATTTCAAAAACAATTCCACAATCAAACACACATGTTTCCCCAAAGCTCAAAGATACCTATCTATGTCTGGTGCATTTTTACACAATAATTTTCAATGATTGTGTAGAAAGAGTCATTTTCAATGCCCTGGCATAGAAGGTGTCTAAAATTTCCTATAAAGTAGGGGGGAAAGTTAAAAAAGAATATATTAACTGATATTCACTGATATTCAATCATATAAGTAAATGACTTTAAAAGTATGTAAGAATGTGTGCGGGACCAGACAGCTAGCACAGGGGTTAAGGTGTATGCCTTGCGTGCAACCAACCCTAGTTAGATTCCCCAACACCACATGGTAGCAGAGGACAAGTGGGTGCAGCCCAGCTGTGGCCCTGAAGGTCTGTGAGCACCACCAGGATGGCCCCAGGTCATTTCCAGCACCCACGGAGCGGCTCGCATCCTTGCATTGAACACCAGGTGACCCCAAGACCCTAAACACTAAGAACCTAAACACTCATACCTACACTTGGCTCTCTGTGGTACTATAATAAAGCATTATACTTTCCATCTCATCATGAAGTATTTTTGTACAGCACTAGAATAATTTGAGTAAAATACTCAAATATAAGAAATAACTTGAAAAAAGAGAAAGAAAGAACTTGAAAGAACAAGACTTTTTTTTTTTGTCTAGGGACAAATGAATCTATCTCTTGTCCACTGAAATACTTAACTTCTTTCTAGATTTGCCATATTAAGTAGAGTTTTCTTGAGCTGGAGTTAAGGCACATTCCTTGTATGCATGTAATGTTCGATCCCCAGCACCATAACTTCGCCTCAGGACTGCCAAGAGTGACCTCCAGAGCACAGAGCCAGGAGTAAGGCCTGAGCACCTCTGAGTATGGCCCACCAACAACCCTCAAACCCCCAAATAAAATCCTCCTATTTAGAACAGGAGTCATGTTATAAATATTAATTTAGTGGCAGGTAAAATAATTTTTAGTGGTAGAGGTAAAGATTAGCTTAATGTCAAAATGCTTCCAAAGGAACCTGTTTTGCCCTTTGCCTTCCCAATCCCTCGCACACACACACACACACACACACACACACACACACACACACACACACACACACACATCCCAGCTCCCTATTTACATTTTGCAGTACCTCCAATAATCCAGGAAACTTCCTTCAGCTTGTCTGTTCCTGTTCCATATAAAACAGTGGGGACAGAACAGATGGGCAGTCTGCTTATATACCATCTCCTTTTAAAGGTGTACCTCTGAAAATCCATCTTAAGTGGCTTGGGCTATGATACTTATAGACAGGAAAGCTAAATCTACATGGAATCAAATAACAAGGAAGTTAAAAGTCCTACATCTTCATATTGGCCTCTGAAGCAAGAGATCAAATACAGAAAATGGCAAAGAGAGAGAAGTCACTCCACATTCCAGGATAATCAGTGAAAGTCCACCAGGGAAGGAAAGCACTAAGCACTTTTTTAAGAGTCTTCATCCTTGATTTTGTAGAAATAATCATGGGTACTGAACGCAGAACAATGGTGCCCCTTCTCTTAAACTGCTGAGAACCTAGGTCACTACAAGTATGTGTGAAATAGTTACATAATAGTAATTACCATCAAATAAAATTTATGTGATTATTTTTCAAAAGCGATGAAGAGCCTAGTATCATGGAATTTCCAGTGACTTCAAAGCAAAGATATATATATCTACATATATATATAAAGATATATATATATCTACATATATATATATATATATATATATTGCTTTTGAACTTTGTTTCTAATCAGACAAGTGGTTACTTTGTTTTGTCCTAATACAAATACATTTGAAATCAGACAAGTGGTTACTTTGTTTTGTCCCAATACAAATTACAGAGCAAGTGCTTAAAATAGACAGTGCAGATTCACTTAGTGCCCACAAAACCCCTTACGATACTATTATTTCCTTTAGCTATATGATGCACAGTGAGGCAAACTGAGGCACTGAGCAACACCCAGAGCTACTGTTACCAGAACACAGTGGGATGTTCTTGAGACAGTTCACTTTTCACGGACGAAGTGCAAGAAAGTTACCCCGCTCTATCAAGGCATAAAACATCAGCTCTCTACACGCACCCCAAACGTGTCTGATGCCTGATGTACAGAACAAAAGTACAGGATTCTTGCTACAACCTAGAGTCTTGAAGCCGCAAATGGAACTCTGTTCCAAGCGTTTAAGACGTCAGTGTGGTCGGGGCAGAGGCAAAAGAAGCCTTTGTTATTGCACACGACCACCAAAGGCGCGAGGCGGGCAGCAGGTTGCGCGCTAGTGCGCTGGGACAAACGAGGGGCGGGGGTCCGCCTGGACGGTGCGGGTCGCGAGCCGAGTGGAGGCGCCCAGAGCGCATGCGTAGCCCGGGCCGCGCCGCGCGGCCGACGCGCTGGGCGGCGGGGAAACTTACCTGGTGCGCCGGGAGCGCAGGCACTGGACCAGGATTAGCAGGGTCGCCGCGAGTGACAGGCCCTGGAGGCTGAAAAATGCCTGCAGCAGCGACTCAAGCGACCAGCGGCCCATGATTGCGGACTGCCACTCGGGTCGTCCGGTGCGCGCGCTGCGGCAGCGGGCGGTCTCTCTTACGAGCGGCGCTGTTGGCGCCTCTGCAGCCGACCGCGACTGCTCTCGCCTCCTCTCCCGGGTCCCCGCCCGCCGTGCAGCCCGCACTGTCACCTCGGGCCCCTCAATGCAAAGTCTCAAAGTTCCTGGACTCCCCGCCCCCCGGCCCACCTCCCACCCACGTGCACCGCCCAGCTGCGTGACCGCCCCCTGCCCTGTCTTTCTGGAAAAACGGCACCCCCTCCCCCACCCCTCCCCGCCGCCCCCCGTTCCCTGGGGCAGAAACGGGGAAGGAAGGGGGTGGGATTCGGGGTTTCCATGGGACATCCTGAGAAAGGCTGGAAAAAGGACATTTCGGTGTTGAGTTGTTTGGACGTGAATTCTGTGCAGTTTCTCGATCTTAGCCCGAGGCCCCCTTTGGATTAGGGACCCGGCTGCAGCTGAGAGCTGAGACAGTGTCCCCTGAGACCTGGCCCTAATGATCTACTAAGCCAGAGGAGAATGCTTGGCGCCGGCAAGTGCTTGCGCAGTGATTGCCTCCATTCTGCTTCCAGACTACTCCGTTCACCTTTCATGCCCTATACTCTTACAACTTTAGTTAAGAAACTACTGTGCAAACACCCCAGCTGCAGATACAGAGATCAGGGACTTAACTTTAAGGCCTGATAAGACCCAGGATTCAGGAAAACAGCAGCTCTTGGAAGCAAGCTCTAGTAAATCAACACCAAGGGCCAAAATAAAAATGGTAGAGACTAATGGGTGGTTAAGATAAGGGAGAAACAAAATTACTGGTTCTGAGTAATAACCACTCATCGAGTTCTCTCAAACGATTGCTTGTTCTTTAGGCAAAATGTGATTACTTTTTAAACCAGTATTTAAAGAGCATACAACCAGACCCATATTTAATAATTTAGCCTTGATGCTTATGTGATGACGATAATAATGATCACCAGTTTAACCACAGTTCTTTCAAACCACTGTGTCTTTTCCGTGGTGAAAGATCTGTCTCCACTGGATTAGGGCTATTACAATAGTTTCGGAAGGGTTTTCAGGGTTTTCACCTCTGCTCATTTGCTGCTTTCCTAAAATATAGACTCACCCTCCTTCTGCTCTTCCGAACTCTCTAGTGGTTGCTCCTGTGATAAATTCATAAAGCCATGTAATAGAAGCAATGAGAAGGCCTTTATAAGTTTGTCTCCATTCTACAACTCCCATGACAACAACAGTTTCACATACACTGAGGCTTGAACCACTGCCCCTCACACTTTAGTTTTTGATGCCTGCGTGAAAGTTTCCTCTTACCTAAATACTACTCGCAATGCCCTGCTTAAATCTCACTTTTTTCCTCCTAGAAACCATCCCTAACTCTTCTTTCTAATCTCACTTTTTCATATCTATAACACTGTCATGAGTCACTGCCTATTTCCTCTCACTTTTCCCATCCTAGCTGAACTATTTCTAACTTGTACACGACCTCTTTTTAAAGGTATAGCTCTAAGTCCACATTCAGTGGCTTTTTTCTCCTGTAGAAGACAATTTTGTCGGCATTTGTGTCTCACTCTCAACCCCATTCCCTCACCCTGAATCAATATATTTGAATGCTTTGGGAGCTGGAGAGAAAGTCCAGGCCTTGCACACACTGACCCAGGTTTGACCCAGGGCATTCCGTAATCCCCAGAGTAAGCCTGGAGCATCTCAGAGTGAGGCCCACTCCACTACTTCAGAAAAAAAAAAAACAACAACTTTGTTTTCATCTGACTCTTAGTTCTCCATTACTGAGTTGCTATTCTTGGCCCTAAGCTTGTGGACAGCTGTGCTAACATTAGAACCCTAATGTCTATAAGCATCTTTCCCTTTCATTTCTATTTCAAGGTCTTTATCCTGCCTCCTTATCAGTTTTTTTTTTTTTTATTGCATGCAACACAGCAGGGCAGTGCTCTGAGGACACTCCTGGGTCAGTGCTCAGGTACCAGGTCCTGATTGGAACCATGGTCATAGGCACAGCTGCTTGCTAGCAGGTCTTTGTACTGTTTGCTTGCCATTGTCTTTGTACTGTTTTTCTACCCATTTGTTACCTTTCTTTGTACCTGTTGTAAAGAAGATTTTCTAGGAAATCTAAGTGAGTACAGTGAGCTAACATGACTTTGTCCTCTAAAAGAAAGTAAAAATATTTATAGTGACAGAGTATACAGACTAATGTCCATGTCTGCTTGTCTGCGACCTTCTCTGTGGACACCCCATTGATTTTCACTTGGATCCTTAACTTTCATAATACTATTTTCCATTTGATCTTCTGAATGACCTATCTATTTGAAGTTATTGATATATACGTTATGCATTAATTCACTGAACTCTTATTATATCCCAGGTGCTATGCTAGATATTTTATTTCATTACATAATAATAGCAAGATTACACTGTCTTGGGGAAGTAAAAGAAAGAAAACTTTGGTCATCTATTAAACTTGGTTAGTGACTGCATCATCATTCCTCTGATAGCTGTGTAGACGTTTTAATACATTTAATACCAGACCCAGGAATGTGGATCTCCTCTGTCTTCTATTTCTGTTAGAAGATACCTCCATTCTAAAACTTGTCTATTTGAAATGAAATCCAAAGCAACTTTTTATTCCTCTGTTGCTTGTATAAGCTGATAGCACCATCAATCCAATTCATGTTATCTTCAAATATACCTTTATCCCTGTCATCACCTCTCTAATGAGATGACTAGTTAGGTCTCTATATCTTTTCTTTTCCTCCTCAATAATAGTTCTCTATTTTTTTCTATAGATTCTACTGTTTATTTTATAGACACAGTTGTTATACATTATAATATTTTCCTGGGGAAAAGGCACTTAGCTCCAAAGGCATCTACATAATAAATCTTAAGAATGCCACTATATAAAACAGCTGCAATTTATTTCTATAAAATGTTCACAAAATAATAAAAAGCTAATTGAAATCATCTTCACGGCTTGTATACTTTAATAATAGGTTACATGATTCCTTGACCTTCTCAATCCCATCGAGAAATGCAAGTATCAACAGCAAAGACTAGATTAGTCTGAGTTCTTTTGGAATAATTCTGTGGAATAGTCCTCCACTTTTATTATTTATGATTTTTTATTGAATCACCGTAACTACAAAGTTACCAAGATGCTTATGTTTAGGTGTCAGACATACATATATTTTTCCCACACCAATCCTTTCACCAGTGCCCACTACCCTCCACCAAAGGTCCTCAGTTTCTCTCCCCCAACCAAACCTGCCTCTGTGGCAGGCACTTTTCCCTTGCTCTGTTTTTTTTATTTATACTTTCTCTTTATTGATTAATTTTTTCCATTTTTAATTTTTTTTATTTTTTAATTTTTATTAGTGAAACACCATGAGGTACAGTTGTAGACTTACAAATTTTTGTGCTGCTGAAAGTAGACTATATACCAAACATGATTGCCATTCAATACCTCTTTTGCAAACCACAACACCCAAAAGCAGAGAGAGAACAAAAGGAAACGCCCTGCCACAGAGGCAGGGTGGGATAGGGGGAATGGGGGGTAGGAGGGATACTGGGTCCCCTGCCTTGTCTTCAAAGTGTTCCCTTCCCTATCTTATCCCCCTCATCCCTGCCCCAGTTGCAAGCTTTCCACTGAAAACCAATTCTCCTGCTCTTGTTTCTACTGCCATTGGGCATGTGATATTTTCCTATAGCGTTTCTTTACATCCCATGTATGAGCGAGATCAGTCTGGGTATTTTCCTCTTCTTATGACTGATTTCACTCACCATGATGCTCTCCAGGTCCTTCCATGTTGCAGCAAATTCTATGATATTATCTATCCTTTCGGCTGAGTAGTATTTCATTGTGTATATCTACCATAGTTTCTTTAACCACTCATCTGTTCATGGACATTTTGGTTGTTTACATAATTTGGCTATTGTTTATAATTCTGCAATGAACATAAGAGTGCAGATGTTCTTTCTGCATTGTGCTGTGGGCCCTTGGAGTATACTCCTAGGACTGAAATTGCTGAGTCATTTGAAAAGCCACTTCCTAGTTTTTTGAGGATTATTTGTATTGCCTTCCAAAACAGTTGAATCAATAGACATTGCCACCACCAGTGATAGTACTTCATTTTCAATTGAACTGTTTATTACAAAGACTTCTTTCTCAGCCTTGGTGCTAAACACGACCATGTGACCAAATCTTTATCAGTAGTGTAAAATAAGGTCTTGGTTCAGAGAGATAGTACAGTGGATAAGACAGTGGCCAAACTAGCAATGAATCCCTAGCAGTACATATGGTTCCCTGAGCACTTGGACACAGAGTTAGAAATAAGCCCTGATTATAACCCAGAAAACAAACAAGTAAATAAGTATAAGGTCTTCCTTCAAAAAAGCTCTCTTTACAGGACGATTTTTGAGGTTTTTGCTACCTGACCCAAGTTTGATCCCCAGCATCCCAGGTGATCCCCCAAGTCCTTAAGGAGAGGCACAGAACACAGAGACAGGAGTAAGCCCTAAGGATCTCCAGTTGTGGCCCCCAATTTTTAATATATTTCCTATATTTAATTTGCTATATATGTTAACCTCTTAATTTCAAGAAGTATTTATAAGACATGCAGGTAAAGTATTTATAAAACTTGTTCCTCATAGTAACCAGCCACTAATCATTTCTATAAATGTCAATTACCCATGTTAGTATCTAGTGTTTCTTGGCCACACCAAATAGACAAGTGTCAACAGCCAAACCTTGGTTGACCTTTGGACTTAAAGAGGAGAAGTGATAAAGGATAACTTAGAGAGAAAACCATAACATCCAAGTCATAGATTCATACTCCAAAATATCTCTCACCAACTCAGTTTATCCTCAACCAACCAGGTGACTGAATCTTTCTCTGTCTTCTAATCTATGCTTAAATTAAAGTCTAGCCCACCGTCCCTTGAGGTTTTATTGATTCTGAAGGGTCTGTATGGAAGTCACTAAAAACTGAGTAATGATTAATTCCTCCTGCTTTTCAACAAGTTTGTCCTAACTCCTCTGTCCTGTGAGAGTTCAAAAATACTATCATGGTGCTGGAGCAATAGCACAGCAGGTAGGGCATTTGCCTTGCACACGGTCGACCCGGGTTCGATTCCCAGCATCCCAT